GGCGACACTGAGGGTTGCGATCCGTTGCCGGACACGGAAAAAGACAAAAAGGAAAAAAAAAAAAAGAAGTATCTATTATATTCCAAATTCATTTGCTTACTCACAGCAGAATATTTGGCAATAAATCAGAGGCAGTCTAAAAAATGATCAAAATTTTTATTCATTACATAACATTCAGGTTGAATGTGTTTATTCAATGAGCAATTATGGATTTAATATCTAAGACTGGTTATCCTGTCAAATTACCTCCCAGAATTTTTAAAATCAAGTACCTCTGCTGCTTTTCATCTTTATTCATGTAAATGAATTACACATACACAGAAATATTTGGTAACAAAACATGCAATAGAGCAAATTAAAATTATTCCTTTCCCCCAATCTAGAGTGTCTATTAACTCTTTAGTTTTAAATAAAAAATAATCATATTTTATATGATTATGAAGACCTCATACTATAATATAGCTAGTATGTCCCAAATTAACCTGTTCCAACTGGTAGAAGAAATACAATAACATGTTTTAAAAGATACATTCATTAGAGGCAAAAAAAGATTATCCTACATCGTTTAAATTTTCTATAAAAGAATATAATTGAAGCAAGCTCTCCAGTGATAATATTCAAATGATTTATGTAAATTAGAATGGTCAAATGCTTCTGTCTATACGTTCCAACTGGATATTAGTGTAGGCACTTAAATTACTGAATGCTAGTAATTGCACATGATCCCAGCAATTCATTTTAGATAAGACAATAACCGATATTTTTCCTTTTTCCATATCAAAGCCTTGTATAGACTTTGCCTATCTAGAATCTCAGATCCCACTGAGTGCTTTTGAAAAAGGGCATTTTCCCCCATTATAACATAAATACTGGTTTTGGCCTCACAAAACCTCCAGCCTAGGTAGTGAAATCCAAGCTACAGACAAAGTGCAAACATTCATAAAATTTGTAAATGTAACATTCAAAATAATGTTATTTCTTTTATTGTCAGTCCTCACTGGGTAGGCATAGTCATCCTGATAGAGGGAAGGCTGGAAAAATTATTCACATTGGTAAATAAGTAATCCTAATAGATTAAAGAGGTTTACCTTAACAGAGGTTTATAGCTGATTATCACAACTTAGTGGATTTTTTGAAAAAGTTTGCTTCCTTGAAGAAAGCAGCACATCTCCAGCAATACTACCCAGGTACCAATTTGCATTATGCAACACTCATTTGATAATGGTAATCTAGTGGTCTTGAAAGAGTTAATCTTCCAAACAGACTACAAAGTAATTTGTACACTGGAAATCTCAGGCACAACTGATTATATATCTGAGCTTTTAAGGAGAAAAGAAACATACAGAACTAAGGGCTCTCTGCTTACGAGGTGTCTTCAAAAAGCTCGCGGAAAGATTTGCATTCTTTTAAATTCAATTTGTCCATGAACTTTTTGAAGTAACTAGTATTAATATCACAGTGAGGAAACTGGAGATAATACTTTGAATTATTACAATGGGATTCTAATAGAAGACATCTGGGTCTTTTGCTTTGACCTCTAGGACAGTTTTTTCATTTGCAATATTTTAACTAGCTGGTATTCTGATGATGGTGAAAAATCATCTCAAGATTTTAAAGTTACGTATCTGATTTTCAGGTGAGGTACTCTTTGGCAGACAATTTTTTAAAGGTCACAGTTTCTATTTAGTATTTTTGCTTATGTTACAATTCAAATTTAATATACAAATCAAGAAATAAAATTCTAAAAAGAGCAAAGGAATCATACTATATACAGTTAGTAACATAGTAATTCATCTGAAACATCTAGAAAAGAGCGTAATACAAAGTTCAAAAAGAGTTCAGTTGAACATGCTTAAGTTTTTTTAAGCCTCAGTCACCTGAAGTTTGGAACATTAGCTTAAATATTATTTCAACTAGTTAAATTGGTGTTGATAAGAACTAGAACTTTTATACATAAATAACTTGGGTGAAGTTTTGGAGGCAACTTACACACACACACACACCTCACCATCTACACCAACCACTACCACAATTTGGTGTTTCCCAAATAACTAGTTAAATTGGTGTTGATAAGAACTAGAACTTTTATACATAAATAACTTGGGTGAAGTTTTGGAGGCAACTTACACACACACACACACACACCTCACCATCTACACCAACCACTACCACAATTTGGTGTTTCCCAAATATGCTTGCTGAAAAGAACCATTAGAGTATTCTAATGAGTCTTTAGTTAATTAATTAATTAATCAATCCGTCAATCCTAGAACTTCCCAAGGAGATTCTGATTCCCTAGACATATAGATATCAGCAAATATATCCATATAACTTTTTGTCTCATGTGTATAGTTTCAAATCACCAACTTATTATAGTATGTGACAGTTTTGTTACAGATCTTTAAAACACAAGAAAACATGGCTGTAATTTTCAGCAGAGCACTCCATGTAACACACCTCATAGTAGTCCCAGATAGTCATTTGGGGTAAACTACAGCCAAAGTTTGTAAAACCATAGTTTTGCCACTCATTTTTTCTTCTCCTACACTTTCAGTACTATTGGAGCAATCAAATACTGAAATGAATTACTGAAGAATATTTTCTGAAATATCTATGAAAGAAAAACTATCTGGTTTATATTATTCACTTGCTCAATTAGATTATCAATCTAGAACATATTCAGCACTATATCTAAAAGTCTACAGCTCCTTGATCCTTTGCCCCTCTTAACTGAACTTATTAGACAATTTAATGAATCAACAGAGATCAATTTAAAACAGCTGGTTGGTGACACAAAATAATAAGAAGCCAAATAATAATAAGTCTAATAAAGTCAAATAAGATTTTATATGGAGCTCTTGCTTTAAAATATTGTGGTAATTGACATCCGAATATGAGCTCTGTAATATAGTTCTTTATCTGGTTGAATGTGCAACTTGTAATACAGAATGGCAAACATTTGTGGTTATGACTATGCCTACCCAGTGCTAATACTGCCAATTGAAAAGTTTGTGGTGGTGGTGGTGGAGGTGGTGGCTGTAGTTGTGGCTGAGTCATTCACAGATTTATTTTCAGCCTTTCACTCTGTAATAAGAGTCTCTCATCCTATCTTCCCTTTTCGTTCCATTTACTCATTTATAAATAAAATGTTCCATTCCTATTAAAAATCCAGAAAGTTGGGGGTGGGGGAGGCAATTGCTGCTTTGGAGGCACTCGTTTACAATAAAGGTTTGCACACTCTTCATTTGAATGCATTCAGCATTTTACTTTAACCCCTGTCCATGAAACATACTCTTCGATTAACATGTACCCCTCTATGTGTTCTATATTTCTCTTGATAAATAGAATTAGAGACTTGATAACAAAGTTGATATCACATGAGCTCAGAAACTAAAGGCAACCCCTTAAGAGCTTGAAGTTTCCTCAACTACTCTGTTTTTCTAGACATCTAACAAGTGGAAAGCAATCATGGAAAAGTGAGACCTTCGGTGCCATGTCTATATATCCTGTCAGTAATGCTTTGCTTTTTTAAACAGAGTCCACCGTTACTAGATTATTGCTGAGCATTGATGAAGAGGGTTCATATTTAGTCCTGTCTGCTACATCATTAGAGCTGTCCACAAAGAACATCTTGGCTGTACACAGTGAGACTACAATTCTTCTGTATTCCTGTCTGAAATTTTGGTTCAGTAGTCCGTATATAATTGCACTGAGGCAGCTGTTGAAATATGGCATGTAGTGACTAGCCACAAACAGCCACTCCGGGATCCTCGGTACCATGCTGGCAGGGTCTGAGGCCACAGCAAGACCAATGAAGTTTAGAGGAGCCCAGCAAATGGCAAAAAGTACGAAAACCACAAACATGGTGACAAAATTCCTGAAGTCCTGTGGTTTCAGTCTGGGTTCGTTGTCAGGTTTCACCCTCCTGAAACCTGTTCTCCATCTGACCTGAAGAACCAGGATCCATATTCTTAGGTAACAGAAGATGACTGTGATCATAGGAACTATGAAATGGAAAACCACCACAGCTACTGTGTATGCTGAACTGACAGTCTGTGTGAATGTACAGGAATAGATCTGTGGGTCATACTGGAGTGTTCCGATGTGCAAGTTGGGTACGATTGCCACAAGGGTCAGTATCCATATCAGGAACATATAGCAGAGGGAATTCTTGGTACTGTACAGTCTGTCGTACTTGAGACTGTGGCAGATATAGCAGTAGCGGTTAATGGCAATCCCAGTAATATTGAATATTGAGCCAATGACACTCAAGCCCATGAGGAAAGCACTAATTTGGCAGTGCAGATATCCCAGGTGCCATCCATTGTGAAATATCGATGTCAGCACTAAGGGGTATGGATAAACGGCCACCACCAGGTCTGCAACTGCTAGGCTCACCACAAATATATTTCCTAAAAGACAAAGGTTTATAAAATAAAGGTTAACACCAGTTTCACATGGATTGCATTGGTTTTCTTTCACAATTATTAAAGGAAGAGTTGTTTCCACAACCTGGATGACCTGACCTCATAGCTACTGCCACATTTTAAATGCAGTGCAGGCCATTTTCACCAGGAAGTGAGCCCGCTGCTGCCCTTATCAAAGCAGGTCCACTGTTCAGAAATTTCCACATCCCCCGGGCATATTCTGTGATCAAAACTGCTGTCTTTCAAACTGTTTTTCTTCTTTTAAAAAGCCCTGAGTTCAGCACACCTGTATTACATCTTTTGTTCTGGAACTTTCTGCACTACTTGAGAAATCTCATATCATGTTATTTCTCAAGCCAGACATAACTTCCATAAGTTCCAGGTCTTCTATCCCTCTCTGGTTCTTCAACAGTTCTTAAATGGGCCTCTAGTTTCTGTTCTTGGAGAGCAACAGATCCTTGTCCACAGCACGAGAGTGAAGAGACAAAGGACTCTGCCGCCAGCTGTCTGGATTAGAACACCGGCTTCATGGCTTGCTAGCTGTCTAACCAGGGTAAGTCACTTTATCTTGCCAGGTTTCAGTTTCCTCCTTGATAAGATGAGGACAATGACAGTCTCTTTCTTCACAGGGTCGTTGTGAGCAGGAAATGAGGCATCCATGTGAAGGGCTGTGCAGAGTCCGATGCTATAATACGTGTTGTTCATATTCTTCAACTCCCTCAGCTTAAATCACAGGAAAAGGTAGGAATTCCCTTAGAATCCCTTAAAAGACTTAAAGGATTAAAAATTAAACCCTAAGTATTCTGAGTAAATGATAATTTCTAAATTAATATACTAATGCATTTTTAAAGCATAGAAAAATAACTAATCAAATTTCATGAGCTGTTCTGCAAATATGCTCTTTTCTTTTGAGGCTCTTTTGACTTTGCTTCTTACATCCTTCTGCCTCAAATGGCTCCTCATTCCAGCTTTTAAAATGCTGCCCATCTTCCCAAACCCATCTCGAATAGAAATGTCCAAAGCCTCGGCTTATTCGCCCAGCCGGATATAAGAGCTTCCTCTTTTAAAAGCTCCTAAATCACTTCATATCACTTTTAATTTACATTAAATTATAATAAGTTACTTTCAATAAAAAGTTATTAAATGCATATAATAGGTGCTGGGGAGACAGGAAAGAACACATGAGAAACTCAGAAAAACAAACAAAATTACAATAGAGTAAGAAGCACACTTCTGCACCGTTGGTGAGACTGTGAATTAGTACAGCCATCATGGAAAACAGTATGGAGCGTCCTCAAACAACTAGAGATAGAACTGCCATACGTTACAGCAATCCTGCCACTGCGTGTAACCCAAAGGAATGGAAAACATCACATTGAAGGGATATTTGCACTCCCATGTTCATCATAGCTCTATTTGCAATAACCAAGATATGGAACCAACCTAAATGTCCATCAGTGGATGTCTGGATAAGGAAAATGTGGTATATTATACACAATGGAATACTACTCAGCCATAAAAATGAATGAAATTCTGCCATTTGCAGCAACATGGATGAGCTTGGAGAAAATAAAAAGTGAAATAAGCCTGGCACAGTAAGAGAAATACTATATGTCCTCACTCATAAGTGGGAGGGAGGCAGGGAGGAAGGAAGGAAAGAAGAAAGAAAAAGAAAGACTGCAATCAAATGCTGAACTTTCATGAGGAGAGAACAGACCTATAGGTCCTAGAGGTGGGAAAGTGGGAAGTGCAAGGGAGTTAGGGAGTAACTGGGTAAGAGACACAAAGAGTAATCACTATTTGTAATGATGAACATGCTAATAATATTGATTTGATCATCACATATTGTACACAGATACTGATAGTCAACTCTGTATCCCATAAATACGTGTAATCAAAAATAAATAAATTTTGGGGGGGAATTAAAAAAATAATAATAAAAAGAAGCACAAGAGTATGTACAGAATAAGGAAACAAGGAAGGGAATGAGCTAGACAGGGACAGGAAGGAGCATTCTAGACATGACAATATTTTTTTGCTTCTATTTATTTCTAAATTTGGCTTTCCTGTATTTCTACAACATAGCCCCTGAGAGTATGTCTTCCTCATATGTGTATCGTGAATAGTACCCAGTACAGTGACTTTCACCTAAATGCTTGATGAAGTCAATTAAATTGTCACCTCTCAACATTTGAAATAAAATAGCCTTTGTACTTGAAGCTCCTATTTGATTAATATTATTCCCCCAAGAAAATTATTGCATAGAAGCAGAGTAAAATAGTAGCCGTAATGAAAGAAAGGCAAAGTTTGTGCCTTTTAAGTAGGAATTTCAGATAAGTTGTCATCAAAGCAAATTCTTTAAAAATTGGTTATATTAGTTTAAATTAAAGTCACAAGGGCAAATTTATCCCATAAAATATTTAAGTTCCTAAGTGAACATATTTTCATAAATTCTTAACTCAAAATGTTTGATACTTTCAAAATATCTATATGAAAGCTAACTACAAATTAAAATGTCATTGAAACAGTACATTTTTACCCACATATCATGAAGACAAACTGGCCTAATATAGATTTACTTTTAAAAGAGCTTAAAAATAAAATCACAAACCATGTTACAGATTTCTTTTATGGCTTTTATCCTCTGCTGCACTTATTTTATAGTAATTATAATTCATTATTGTTCAAGTAATTACATTAATTAAATCATTAGTTTAATTTTCTTTGAATTAATCCTATTTTACAAATGTTTGGAGAAAAAAATTAAGTCAGAGACTCTGATTTATCACATGTGCTCATGTGTATATGAAATGTGTGTATTGTGTTGGACAAGAGGGTAACGAAAAAAAATTTTTTAAGAACTCCACCAGGTGAGAGTAATTAAATCATTTAATCATAATTATACACTTTGTTAAGTCATCTATTCAATTCTCGGCTCTGTGCAACTCCAGACAGAATAGCAACCTATCCATTTTTACAGATATCCAAGACTATACAACCAGCATAATAATGCAATCTGAAATTTAAAATAATGTCTGTTAATGGCTAACAATTTCTTCTTTGTTAAATTTAGTTCCAATCTTTACTATGGAAGAATCACAGAATTATACATTAACATTGAGATGTATATTAGTGATCACCTTGGATAATTTTTAGAGATGAGGATAAAAAAGAAATATGGAATTAATTTGGATGAAGTCACGTGGAGTATACTAGCATTTACAAAGCAAATGTATTTCATAGGGCCTAGTTTCCAAAGCCTTGTAGTTTCAGGTTTAACCTAACTTTTCAAAATTACATATAGAAATGTTAAGTTTGCAAAAGACAGGAAACTTTCCCCAGGCTAAAATCTCTGTTGTGGATATAGAATTGTAATACAGCAAAGTTGCTCGCTCAAGGACAAATGCCCTTGGAGCAGGTTAACCTACTGATTAATATGTTTAAAAAGTCACTTTATTGTGATGTAAAAATACTGAGGAAAATGCTGTAGTAAAACACAGTATTTGCTAAGAACAAGCTTTTGTTGGTGGATTGACAACCTTTTGAAAATTGCGTTATGGAATGCCACTTTGCTATCTCACTGATGTTATCAGCCTCTACTGTTAAAACTATACTTAGCCATAACTCCACTTATGTTCCTTTCCTGTAACTTTCTGGTCTGGAGAATAAATACTGAGACAGAACCCCAGTTCAGTGTTAATTTCCCAAAGGAGGAATGCCTCTTTCTTGAGGGTTCTGGGAAGTTAACCCCTTCCAGGTGTGTCACTGCTCAGAAGAGATGGGCTTTGAGTAATCCTTTTTGCATCTCCATCACCAAGTGTGAGGCAAAGCAAAAAAGTCATAAAACTAGTTAGTGAAAGAGTCAAGACTGTAACAAAATTATTTGTTAGTTTCACTCAGTGCATTTCCCTAAGAAAGTTCATGAGCTCCTACACAGGTATCAGTGTCAAAAATTGGGCCCTCAGGCCAGGACCTGCTTTACAGCATCTTCAGGAATAATTCTGAAAAGCATGTTATTAAGTGATGACTGGGAGGGGAGAGAAAAAATACTCAGAGTTCACTACACTGTCAACAAAAAGAAACCGTGAACAGCTTCACAGTGACTAAAGACACAAACTAAACATGCAGAGTAAATATTTGTTTCAATGAATAAAATTTTAAATTGGAAGTGAAATATGGTACAGATATGAATAAAATAAGTTAACAGACAACTAAAAAGTTGCTTTGTCTAAACTGCCTCCCTCAGAACCAGTCCTGTGACTTCCCTCTGGGAATGGCCAGAGCAGGGTGGCATTGCTTTTTGATTAATTACAATTATCTCTCTACTTCTTACCATCTCTGCACAGCCCAAGCTAGTAACTCCATGAAGGCAGTGCCTATTGTAGACATCTCTCTCCCATGCCCCACCACCTTGAATGGTACTTGGCACACAGTTAATAAATGTATGTGGGTTTGTATTGTGTCAATCAGCTAATCTGAAAAGATATTTCCTTTCATAGCTCCAGGTTAGTGTTTCCCACAAGAGACAAACTGCATGAGACTTAAAAGGCAGAAGTGAAGCAGCAGCCATATTCTGTTTCCACTCAGAAGGTCTGCGTAAAGCTGTAGGTGCCACTGCAAGCTCAGGCACTGAGTCTCATCCGCTGGTCTACAGTGGAGGTGAGAAGCCCACAGCTTCTCTAGCTCCTGCTGAACCCTAGTTGGCTTGGAGAGTGATAAACTAACTCGCTGAGGCAAGGTCAGCTCATCCTCCCAGGTTCCAGACCTTCCTCCAAGGCTCTAGTTTCCCTTGCATCCCCTCTCGACATCCATCTTTCCTTCTACACTGCCTTCTCTGTGGACTTAGGCTCTAGCACCAGACAAAGAAGCAACGATCTCAAATAAACTCTTTCATTATCTCCCACAATTGCTCTAGTGATTTTGCTTCTTGGATTGATTGATTGAACTTTGACTGATACAGAATTTGTTACTGGAAGTGGGCCAAGAATAACCTTAAGGATGGTTCCACTGTGTCAGTGCTGGGTCACCAGCAATTGGTTCTGTAACAGGACTATATTTTAAAGCATTAAAAAACCCTATTTCCAGTAGCAAAGGGGACACTGGCAGTTCATGGCATGCAGTGGCAAGAGTTACTTAAATTATAACCTGTACCTGCCGTGCAAGGTGAAGAAAAAGTTGCTGTATCACTCTTCCTACCACAAAAACCCCCCACAAATATACCTCACTCAAACATGCTACACCAACCCATTCACTGAGTAATCCAAAAATGTTGTCAGTTTTGAGTGGAGCCGGGAACAAGAAAAGGCTCTGAAAGCTGCTCTATCTCTTGACACATCTGATCCAGTTGCTATAGTCTTAACGTTTCCTCACCAAATTCATATGCTGAAAGTTAATTGTCATTGCAACAGTATTAAAAGGTGGGGCCTCTCAGGACTGATTAAGTCATGAGGGCAGAGCCCCTGTGCATGAGACTAGTGACTCTATAAAAGAGGTGCAAAGGACCTGTTTGGCCCTTCCATTCCTCCCACCATGTGAGGATGCAGCAAGAAAACACCATTCTGGAAGCAGAGAGCAGCCCTCATCAGACACCAAATCTGTCAGTACCTTGATCTTCAACTTCTCAGCATGTACAACTGTGAGAAATCAGCTTCTATAATTTATAATTACCTAGTTTAAGGTATTTTGTTATAGCAGCAAGAACAGAATAAGACACTAATGGTGCCTGAATTGTTTGTAGCAGATTGGGAGTCTGTAAGGAAGCATTAGCAGGCACATATAGGTGATTCATAACGTAGACCCTTAGGATTTTGCAGCAAGTCTGTGCTGTCCTCTGCAGATATGTATTCTCCTTTTGAGAAACAGTTTTTGACTTGTTACATGGCAAGTAGAGTCTGAATGCTTGAGTATGGACCAAGTGATCATGTGATCTGAAAGGTCCCTCAGACTAGATGTTGTCTGACCCACCAAATCACAAAGTTGGGCTTGCA